CTCTCCTTTCGAGCCCTTTGTGACAGCATATATGAGGCCCTAGTGAAGGCTGAAGGCGGCTCCCTTCCTAGGCAGTATTCTACCACTATGTTCTTCATCCGACTTCCACACAATGAAAACAGTCACTTCCTCAGCAACATCAGATAGACATATTAATGAATGTCTATATTATGCCAGGTAAAATGCTAGGAAATACAACTACAGAATGAAAAAGGCCCCTGATATCAAAAAGAATAATAAAAAAAGATTTATAATTTATAAAGGGGCTTTCAATTTAATGTACCAAAGAATTTATATGCATTCAATAACACAGGATCAAACTTGAAGGGAATGAATAAATAGAAATATTTTTTGCTCCTTTGATCTAGATGTATTTGCTCTGGACTCAGCCCTATTCCGGGGTGGGAATTTGAAATGCTATCTAAGGTTAATTGAATTTTGATTATTTAAAGTCTTCTAACAATCTTATAGATTGGATCTGGGAGGTAGTGTGGCTAATACTTACTCAAATTTCTCCCCTTAAGTTCTTAGAGCTAATTGCTATGTTGGAATTTTTACCAATTCAACCAATGACTAAGATTTCATATTGAAAAGAGAAATAGTTCAAGGATCAGTTATACACATACTAGTAGAAGCCAAGCAGGGATACCACTATGCTATTAAATATTAGCTTTAATATTTAATAGAACAAGGTATCCTGTTCAACCCTTCCCTTAACTCTTGCTTTCATTTTTAAAAGGAAAGTAAAACCTTGGTAGAGTTCAGGACTGTTTCACCTACTTCAGTTATTGATATGATGCATTTCTATTATCTCCTGCACAGAGAACAAATCAGTTTAACACACAGAAAAGTCAGAGCACATTTTCTCAATATTTTCAACATTAGGATAGAGTTCAATTAGAAGTGAGATTGTGCCAAACACAGCATTTCATTTAGAAGAAGCCTCACTGAGTGCTCAGAGCTTATTTGAGCATTGACTGATCTTACCTAACGCCTGAGCACCTGCATTGGGGGATTCCTCAATTTACTAAATAGCATTTTGTTTAATAAAATGTATTTTCTATTTGACATTTAAGAATGTCTTTACAGTGTCTAAATTTCAGATTTCAAAATTCAGCATGAGGCTATGGCATTTTGAGAATAGAGTGACCCACATTGGGCCATTACCTCTGCACACACAAAGTGTAGATCTTCTGTGGCTGACGTTTATAACAGGGGGGAATTAAGAAATACTGAATCCTTACAATGAACCAGGGTACATTTGCATCCTATTTAAGAACAACCTAGCTTAAACTGTAGGTTGGCATTACTATTTTAATTTTTGTCAGAGGAAATGGATGTTTGGAGATATTAAATAACTTCTCAAGGTCACTTAGGTAGGAATGAAGAAGCTGGGGTTGCTTCCTACATCTGCTCATGTCAAAGTGAGCAGTGTACACGTCAGAAAACCTGACGGCCCGGATTCTAGCCTCGTCAATGAGGTATTTTATTTCTCTGACAAGATCTTTCTCATTATTCAGGTGTTCACAATATATTATCTACTTATGTTAAAAAGTTATTATCTTCTTATGTTAAGAAGAACTTTCTTCTTTTCAGTTACTATAAAGTTAAGGAAGAACCTGGGAATATCAAATGTTTTTTATTTCCATTTCTTATGCTGCCTGTTTTGTGGCAAATGACTTCCCTAAGGATATATGGATGCCAACAGGTCCATAATGAGTAGCTTAGAGGATAGTATTTACAGTATACATAGCCACATAAGGAAGGATGTGTTCATTTAATTTTAATAATTTTGTTTTTTTCATTTTTTTGTGGAGTGATACTTTATGTTGAGCACTTGTGAGATCCTAGCTTATGCCTTAAACCGTCTTTAAATATAAAGGAGAAGCACATTCTGTATATACTCTTTCTCCTTTCTAGCAAAACATTCTATGCCACCCTTATTCTTTTATTTTGAAACCAAAAATTATCATATGAGTGAGATCCAGGACTTTTTGACCCTGAAGTTTGCTGGGCTCATTTTTCCTGACTGTTACAACAGTTAAAAGTCTATGTTTTCCCTAAGTCTCATAACATCACTTTCACTTTAAGGTATCTGAAATATCCTTTAGCATCTAATGTTTAATTAGTCAATAAGTGTAAATACATAATAGTAAATGTCTATACTATTTTCCTTTTTGTCCTTTTTTTCTCACTTCCTTTGTTTTCCATGGTTTCTATAGCCTACAATGTGGGATTCATTGCGCATTCTTTCTTTTTCTAAAGTGAGAATAAGTCAGATCTGTACTCTTTGTACCAAAGGAATGTTGATGAATGATTCAGTTAATTTTGAATTTCATATAAGCAACAAATTATTTCAGTATAAATATGCTCTCTTCAAATATTGTGTATTTATTCTAAAAATTATTTAAAGTTTACCTAAAATTAAAATTTAATTGGGTGGCCTATATTTTTCAATGATAAGTATCTGCGTCCTATTAATAGTCAAACATTTCCCAATCCGTGGGATATATACCTTTTTCCTTTTGAGTTTGTTGTGTGCCTGGCTCAGGTGGTTTTTATCCTACTTCACTGATTTCCTTGTAAGATTATCATTGTTGCTTATTAATTTGGGCTCCTTTGGCTCCTTCTGGGCAAAGTTGAAAAAGATGAGAGTAATTTTCTCATTATCTGGAGGCCTGAACTTAGCTAATTATTTTTCATTTTATTCACTTTTCAATTTAGCCCTGTAGGTGGTATGATTATATGTTTATTTCCTCAAGAATTATTTTTTAAATCATTAATAATGTTCTATACTGACACTTTGGAATTAGGACCTCTATCAGTTTTTAATCCTCCTTGGTAAGTTACACTTTGGATAGCAGTCTACTCTCCCTTTCACTGACATATTCTGTGCTAAATTACTACATGTGTCATTCTGTATTTGAAAAGCAATATGGCTACTGTTCTTTAGTTATATTTCTGCTATCTCATCTTGGAAGTTTACAAAATTTGAACTTCACACATGCGTCCTTTTGGAAGTTATATTTTATTTTTTAAATGCCAAAGTAGTCTCCCCTTGAGATGTGCAAATTTATATTTTCGTAATAGTTGCCCATATAACAGTGTACACCCTACAGAGCCTCTTTCGGGGGGAGAAGCACACCAAAGGCCAGTTAAGAAATCAAAAATGCCAATAGATTTTTAGCTCATAAATGAAAACCTATAATCTTAGAAATCTACTACAGCAGACCCTTATACATTTACCCTTAGAACCGTAATATAGACGAAACCATAGTGTAGTCTTTGAAAAAAATCTCCCCTCTTCTTTTGTGATTCGAGATCAAGGTCTGCATTGCTGTTTTATGTCCATGGAGGATTCATCCGGTGATTTTAGTATATTTCCTTATATAACTACTTACATTCAAGGCATCTTAACATTAGGTGTAATTTCTAGTGGCAGCTTCTTCTTTGGTTATTGAGCCAATACATTTATATTGTTCTTCACAATAAGCAGAAGCAGCTTCATTTTGTAGGTTTAAAATTTGTATTTTTCAATGGCATTGTATTATTAAGCTAGTGTTGATGCCATTGATGTAACAGACATAGCATTCTTACACCAAGATATTTAAAGATTATTAAACCAAAAGAAGATAACCTTTATTCTGCAAGAAATAATGTAAAACATTTATGTGAAATTACAAAAGAAAAAAAGAGATTTTCTTCAGCATCATCATCTTTTAAAAATGTGTCCTGCATTTAATTTTTGAAAAGGAAAACCATTCTATTTTGCTCAGTTAAATTGTGGAAAAGCTCCGAGAACCCAGAAAAATCAAATGGAGTCAATAAATGAAAGCTTCAATTGTTAGAGTGCAAGACCTCTTCAGATAACTATGACCCCCCCCATAAGAAGTCAACTCTCATAAAACTAATTCAAGCTATTCATGGTCTTAGATAGAGCCCTACTTCCAGCGAGGTCAAAGGAAGGTGCCAGTCCTTTGCAGTTTGATGATCATTCTCATCAAATGTGGGAGCTCTATGTGGGAGAAATGCTCAAGGTCCAATGAAGTCCTATGCCTTTAAATATTGAAGAATGTACTATACTGGAGCTCTTCCCATTTTCATTCATGTTCTACTGTTTATAAAAAGACAGAACTGTATATTGTTGAGACAAAAGAAAGTTAGATAGATAAGAGTGGGATCATGGGAGGAGAAAGTAAAACTGGAAACCTAAGGAGGCAGAGTTACTAAGGTACCCCAACTGGGTGGGTGGGGAAGGAAGGGTGAGCAGAGAGGCATGGATGTATGAATGTTGCTAAGACAGACAACTTGCAGATAACCAATCACAAGGTAGTAAGGCATAGACACCAATCCCAAGGATGTTGCTAAGGCAAAATTCTTTGAAAAGACCAATGAGGAGCAAGCAAGGCTGTCTCCACCCCCTAAATTAAAAGGCACGCTTCCACTCAATGAATTCTGGTGGGAGAGCACATTCCTGTGCACAGGTGGCTTATGGCCATGTGGACCTCAACACATGGACAAATGGACCTTATTTAGTTTAGATGTTAAAATTCTCCTGACTGTAACAGAAAGGAAGCTCTGGACACTGGCCTGCTCCTGGAATCCCTTGACTTCATTCGATTTTGGGAAACAACGAACTCAGACTTAAAACCCCCATTTTGGTTTTATTATGACTTATTCTTCCCTCAAATTCACTTACCTGGGAAATAAAAGAGGAGAAGAAAATGGGTCTTTGTTCTTTGGTAAAAGGGTAAGAATTCTAACTCAGTCTGAACTTTAATAAGTAAGATCATCTTACAAGTGGTCAACACGGGGACATTTAGCTTTGTCCTCCAGTCCTGCACTACCTTGAACTCTTTTTCCAATTTTTCTCTTAATTTCTGTGTTTCTATTTACTGTTGTCCCATGTTTGGAAGCATATTTGATCCATAAAAATAGAACTTAAAAACAGTGTATCTGTCCACTTGCTTGTATTGACATGGGATTCATGTTGCCCTTAGGTACTGAAGGAGCAGTATTCGGGCACTCAGTCGAGACACCGCATATCAGAGCAGAACCTTCCCAAGACCTCAGGTAAGTTCTGGCTCTTACACCTGCATTATTGTTTTCACCACTGTTGATCATCCTCAATATATAAAGAACTAAAACAGAAAATATGCTACATGCCTGTATGAAGAATTGACATTTGCTGCTACATGGTAAATAGTCAAGTAATGAATGAAAGACAAGAAAATATGTCTTTTATTCTAAAAAAAAACAACCATCTGTATATTGTTTCCAAATAAACATACAATGAATGTATATTTGGAGTTTGGAAAAAAAAAGGAAAAGGCAATTTTAGCGTAGTTAGGAGGAGGACTGAGAATCATAGACTTGCTGGAAAATCTGTCATAGGCAATGAAATATATGGTGCATAGGCTTAAAGAATAGGGAAGCAGAGATTAGGAGAACGCTACTAAAGGTTAGGGAGTGTTATGTAAAGGAAATAACAGAAACAAATATGGATAGTAATCAGGAAAAGGCAGAACTTAATTGCCCTATGATGGACTCATCAATCTAATATTTCCAGTGGAATAAGCTGCTTCCTGTTTTTAAGAGTCACAGTTACATGTAAAAGCTCTCACTACTGAGAAGATTGTGAGATGGCAGTATTATCAGAAATTCTCCTGGGGGAATCATGGCAACTGTTGATTAAAGTTAAAATAGTAAAAACCAGTAATGGATCCATGGATGTTCTCAATTCAAAAAGTCATTTAAGCTTTAGGAATAAAATACATTTTAGTCAATTTATTGTGGTGATCATTTTATACTATATACACATAATATATCATATTACATACCTTATACTAATACAATACTATATGTTGTTTAAAAAAATACTTTACATAATTAATTTTGGATGAGCAAATTACATTCTAAAGTGCATTTGCTAGGGTATTTTTATAAAATATCAACATGAAATATTGCTATTTGGGACAATATAGATGGGCCTTGAGAATATCATGCTAAGCAAAATAAGTAAGTCAGGAAAAGCTAAGAACCATATGATTTTACTGATATCCTATATAATAAAAGCCTAATATGCTAAGTGCCCAATCGTCTGGTTGGCTGTTCAACCAATCAAAGCACGATATGCTAATGATATGCTAACCACTCGCTATGACGTGCACTTACCACCAGGGGGCAGATATTCTGATCAGTAGGTTAGCTTGCTGCTGGGGTCTGGCCGATTGGGACTGAGCAAGATGGGTCAGACATGCCCTGGAGCCCTCCCACAGTCCCTCCCTGGCTGGCCAGCCTCCCACATCCCTCCCTGGCCCCAATCGTGCACCAGAGGGGTCCCTTGGCCTAGCCCGAACTCTCTCACAATCCAGGACCCCTTGGGGGATACTGGAGAGCAGATTTCAGCCTGATCCCACAGGCCAGTCTGAGGGACCCCACTGGTGCACCAGGCCTCTAGAGTGGGATATAAAACTGAAACTCATAGACACAGATAGCACTATGGGGGTTTTTAGAGGGAAGGTGGAGGGTTTAGTAAAGGGTAAAGGGGGTCAAATACATGGTGAGGGAAGATGATTTGACTTGGGTAGTGGGCATACAATGTAATATACAGATCATGTATCATAGAAATGTAGACTTGGAATCTATATGAACCTATTAACCACTGTCAACCCAATTAATTAATTTGAAAAGGACAATATTGATATTTTAAAAATAAATCAAATATTACAATTATATGTAAAGTTGAATCAAAGTATCTACCTGAGAGACTTTGTCTTGAAAACGCTATAAAAATAGTAAGAAAAAATGTTATTTCATAAATATCAGCTTTAGCCCTTCCCATTTTGATGAGTGGGGACAATGGCTCAAGTGAAAATAGAAAAATAAAGTAGAAAAATATTAATGCCAAAATAGACATGCTTTCAAAAGTGTAAAATTTTCAGACCTTTATAGTTCTATGATAAAATTTCCTGAAGAACTCGGTTTCTCACTAGTAGAGTAACCCAGATTGAAAGAAGCTACTTAACAATAACAGAAGGTGCCCTCTTGCTGTGATGAAGGTATCTATAATAATGAAAGCGTAATATGCAAATCAACCAAATGGCCAAACAGTGGAACGACCATTTCAACAACCTTCTGGACGAAGCTGGGGCTGCGAGGGCCAAAGCAGCCACTGGGGCTGCAAGAGCCTACCCTTGCACGAATTTCTTGCATCAAGCCTCTAGTTTGTTTATACGATAACCATGACAATTATTTACACTAGGCCAAACCCCAAAGACTTAGAAGGATTGAAGACTATGTGTAGTGTCTCATAGTGTGTTATAGTCTTGATTTATGACGCTTTTCTCAGGAATTTAACATTTTTGTGTAATTATTACTGTTATCCCTCTCCACCTAACGAGGTTGCAGGCTCCATTAGAACAGATATGCATCTTCTTTGCTTATTACCTTTAGTTCTGTAGCACCCAGCACTGTATCTCACACATTATAGTGTCTGATAAGTATTTGTTCACTTGAATTACTGAAATTTAGCAAAACTGAATACTGAGGACTACTAAGTGCATGTATATAAGAAATGTGGCAGCATTTGTTATCCTATTGCTAAGGCACATTTAACAAACACTAATTTCAGTTGCTTTTGAACTGTTTTAATATAAATATCAGAATTTAATGATTCATTCAATAAAAAATTTTAAAGTACTAAGTTCTAAAAGAAACATGTTTTACTTCTAATATTTTAGTAATTATGTACTCATTTTTATGCTTTGTTGTTAGGAAAAGTATATTGCCCAAAGAGGAATAAGAACCAACTGCTATTTTAATTACCTTGCTGGTATGTCTCAAAATTCGTAAGGGGAAATGTGGATGAAATTATATTAGTATACAGTGTACCTAGTTTTTAATTTTCTAATTACTCATCAGTGATTTAAAGACTGACTTAAGCTAGGCTTATCTGCTGCTGCTAAGAGCAGATTGGCAACCCCCAAGATGAGTGTTACTGATCTAAATTCCACAACTGAAACATAAGCAACGCACAGTAGTGATGGGGTTATTCAGTTATTTGTGTGTGTACTGAAGATTAAAATTAGAGTGTCTGAGATCTTTACAAGTTTTGCTGACAATTTTCCTTTCAGGGCGATAAAAGCACTCCTAGTTGACACCTAATTTTAAGCAACAAGGTGGGATGGTTGGGCAGGTAATTAAAATGGTAATTTGGGGAGTAAGTAGACAGGTTGCTTTTGCTTTTGTCAAAAATAAAAGGCTTTAGAAAGGAATATCGCAAAACATTTATTATAGAGTATAGGTAATATTTTGGTGTAGAAATATAGTAGATTTATATAATTTATTTATTCAACAGATGTTTGATGAATGCTTAATATGTGCCGAGTTCTGTGCTACGTTTCCATGTTCATTTTAAACCTACACATGTTAGTTTTCTTTGAGTTTTTTTTTTTTTAATTTCAGGTGAAATTGTTTTACAATAGAGCCTGTTTTTTAAAAAGCTAAAAACAAAACAAAACATGCTGAATGGTGAATAACGAGATAATGCCATATTTGCCTGGGATAACTCACGTATGAATGTTCTTCCTTTTATATTTTTAAGTTAATTTATAAGTAAAATATTACAGTTCAGTAGGGTTTCTGCACTCTATGGTGAGAAGCAATGAAATCCATTATATAATGTGCACTGCCCAAAGATTGTTTGAATACAAGTTCCATTAACTGCTCCAAAAATAAGACAAGAATCTTGACTTGGAATCAGTAAATGAGTTTAATATTTAATGATGTAATTGGCATCTTTTCATCGTTTCTCTTCTTGCATGAATATAATTTAAAATTACTCTCTGGAAACACGTTGTTCCAATTTACATCATTTTTAAGTTCAAGGAAAAGCCACCATTTATTAAGTAGATGAGTATTTTTCTCTGAGACATTTTGTCAATAAAGGAGTAAAATATTTTGCTGGTATTGTTCTACTAATTAGAGAAGAAGAAGAAGGAAGTAGTATTTTTCTCCTCTCTCCCCATCCTTCCCGTCTCTTCTTCCCTCCCTCTTTCTTCCTTCTTTCCTTTTATTCTTTCATTCTATGTATGCATTTATACATTTATCTAGTGTTAGTAACAAATCAACATCATGAGAAGCTTCTTTTAGCTTGAAAACATGGGGAAACAAAGACAATTGACCTAGAAATTTCTTTGAGGTAATGTGAAAGAAGAAACCACAATGGCATGTGCTAGTGAGCAGAAAACAAGAAAAAATGGAGTAAACAAAAAGAATGTTATTTGCATCTGAAGAAAGCTCAGTGTAGCCTGAAATGATAAGACAGTAAAATTTCTTATATATTCAAGTCACAGCTGACGTTAATTTTTTTCTTAAAACAATTTTCTGTTCAGTTCTCCATTCATGCCATCATTGAAACCTCGAATAATTCATGAGTGCCTACTATTTCTTTGGCACTTTGTTAAATATTTAGCAAAAACAAGATATATGATTTTTAAGTTCTACTTAAGTTTCTGTTTAGTAATTGCATCCTGGGATTTACTTTAAAAGAATTCTGAATTCTTGCCTCTGAATGTTGAGGCTTCTTCTAAGACCGAGGCTTTTCATTTTCAATCTGAGAACTGCACAACCTTCAATGCAAAATCTTGTTGCATCTTTGCTATGTAAAAACCATGAAAACCAGAATCACTTGGTAAAACAAGCAGACTAGAGTTCAACAGTAACGCTTCTCTGCTATATAATCTTTGGGTACCAAAAATAGTCAGAAATCCATTGCTGTGAATTTAATACTTTTAAAATGAACACTTTTATATTTTTATAGTTTTTTCCTTTGAATGCAAAAAATGTAAAATTAGGTTATGAATTTTCTTCTAAGTTTCTGTTGAATTTTATAGTCTGTGATTTCTTTATTACTTTTTATATTTTGAGTAGATGAAACAGGAAGTTATTCCTGCAGAGTGTATTAGGATCCAATGTTATTTTCTTCAGTATTGTTAGTCAGTTTATTAACATTTATTAAATAAGCTAGTATTTTCCATCACAAAATGATTGCACATTTGTCAGATATTTCT